ATTCATCAGTGAACAAGACTGTTTGAAAATTAGTCTTCATGTACGTCTGGGCGCACTGCAACAGTTTCTGCTTGTGATCACTGGTTAGGGGTGGCCGAATAGTAGGTTTATGCACAACAGTAAACCTCTGGTGGATCCTACACCTTGAGGTTCATGGGACTCCAGAGGCACCAGCAGCTTCAAATAACTATCTGCTGCTCTGTAATGGCATTTTAGCAGCTGTTCTTTTAATCCRATGAATTTGTCTAGCAGAAACCTTCCTCGTTATGCCTTTATCTGCACGAACCCGTTTGTGCTCTGAATCAGCCACATATCTCTTCACAGTACGATGATCCCGATWCAGTTTTCATGAAATATCTAATGTTTTCATACCTTGTGCAAGGCACTGCACTATCTGACGCTTTTTGGCAGCAGAGAGATCCTTTCTCWTTCCCATATTGCTTAAAACCTGTGGCCTGCTTAATAATGTGGAACATCCTTCTTAAGCAGTTTTCCTTTAATTGAGCTCACCTGGCACAGTTATCAGCACAGGTGTGTGAGATTAATTATATAATATTCAAAGAGCCATGAGACACAATACCATCCATGAGTTTAATGGATCTTCCAAAAATTTAATCATTATGACACTTAAATCCAATTTGCATAATAATTTGGAACACAGTGTAGGGCCCTATAATTTCCGCGATGCTGAAAACGCAGACGGAATCACGGAATTGACCAAACAAAAAACGCGTAAAACGCGGAATCTCTCAGAATTTGCTTATTTGGGTGAGTTTCTGAGGTCTTTTGGCTTCTGCCGCTTCCTGTACCTGACGTTATCTGGTAACAGGCATGTGGGGTGAGCTCTGACTGAGCAGCCTTCCCAACACAGGAGAAAAAAAAAAGCTGTGACCGCGACCCACACAGCGAACAACACACTCGCTAAAAGTTACGTTCTCCAAAAATATGAAGCTAGCATTAAGTTTGGACAGAACAATGTCCCAGTGGTTATTTATCTGTAGAAAAACTTTTCTGCAAGTTGTTTTTGGCACACGATGGGCTGGACGCTCCAGACAGCTTCCTGTCTGAGTCCCAGACAGAGGAGCAGCTGAGAGACATAATGAAAACTCCTGAACACTCAGTGAGGTGGGAGTCCCACTGGGAGTTTATCCATGATTTTGTTGTTGTTTGTGCAGAATCAGACATTCCTTTAAAAAAATTGAAAAACCTTTGTCCGTTTTTTGATAAAGCACTGTAAACCTGTGTGTGTGTGTGTGTGTGTGTGTGTGTGTGTGTGTGTGTGTGTGTGTGTGTGTGTGTGT